ATAAACGACCCCGCCTCGGGTGTTTTGCCATAGCGACGTAAAATGGATAAGGACAAACACAACTGAGAAAGCCGAGAGCTTCGGTTGACAAACCACCGGTGTCAGCCTGGAAATTTGCCGAGACATTCAGCATAAAGATCAAAATACAAACTCAGTTATGTTCCACCATTGTAAAAGGGGGGAGGGGACCAATGACAAGTCTCCTAAGAGACAGGTAAAAAGAAAGCTAACAGAAGATAACAGGAAAAACATTCCTGCAACTTGTGGGATGAAGGAGGTGTTCCTTTAGAGACCTAGGACCCAGGAGAAACCTACTTGACTATGTCAAAGGTAAGGATTTCAGCAAAGAGCTGCGGACAAGTCAACAAAGCTGGCGCTATAAACAAAATGATACTTGCAGGACATCTACAGACCAAAAAGAAAAGGAGGAAATCCAACAGCAGCTAGGTGAGGAGGCTCACATCTTTTTCCCCCATTCTTTGTTATTTTATTTTTTAAACAAATTTATTTTATATCCCAGCCCCAGTTTTCCTTTTCTCCCCTCCTCCCAGTCCCTTCCCCCACTCTCCCTCTGTCCCCATCCCCCAAATCACTCCTCCTGTTTAGGAAAAGGCAGGTCTCCCATGGAATATCAACAAAACATGGCACTTCAAGTTGCAGTAAGACTAAGCCCCTCCCCATGCATTAAGGCTGGGCAAAGCAACCCAGTATGAGGACTAGGGTCTCAAAGCCAATAAAAGAGTCAGAGACAGCCCCTGTTCCCACAGTTAGGAGTTCCACAAGAGGACTCTACACTACTGTAACATATATGCAGAGTGCCCAGGTCAGTCCTATTCAGGCTCCCTGGTTATCTGTTCAGTCTCTGTGAGTCCCTATGAGCCCCGGTTAGCTGATTCTGTGAGTTTTCTTGTGGTGTCCTTGACCCCTCTGGCTCCCACACTCCTTTCTCTCCCTCTTCTGCAGGATTCCCCCAAACTCAGCCTAATGTTTGGCTGTGGGTCTGCATCTGTTTCCATCAGTTGCTGGATGAAGCCTCTCTGATGACAATTGGGTTAGGCACCAAGCTGGTCACAGGAGATGGCCAGCTCAGGTTATGCATCCATTATTTCAGGAGTCTTAGCTGGAGTCGTCCTTGTAGATTCCTGGGAGATTCCCTTGTGCCAGGTTTTTATCTGACCCCGAAATGCCTCCTCTTTCCAGTAGTCTCTTTCAGTACTCTCCCCCTCCATCCCCCCTCAACCTGATCACTCATGTTCCCATCCCCAACTGCCCTCAGTCTACTCACGAAATCTCTATTTCCCTTCCCAGGGAGATCCAGGCATCCTCCCATGAACCCTCCTTGTTACTTAGTCTCTCTGGGTCTGTGGATTGTAGCATGATTATCCTTTATATTACAGCTAATGTCCACTTATAAGTGAGTACATACCATGTTTGTCTTTCTGGGTCTGGGTTACTCATTCAGGATGATTTTTTTCTAGTTCCATCCATTTGGGAGGCTCACGTCTTAATCCCACACTAAGGAGGCTGAGGCAGGAGGATTGGCAGGAATTTGCAGCCAACTGGACTACAAAGTGAGTACCAGGCCAGCCATAGCTACAGAGTGAGAACCCATCTCAAAAGCAAAAAGAAAACCTAATTTAAAAACAAGTAAAGGAAGCCAGGTAGTGGTGGCGCACGCCTTTAATCCCAGCACTTGGGAGGCAGAGGCAGGCGGATCTCTGTGAGTTCAAGGCCAGCCTGGTCTACAGAGCGAGGTCCAGGAAAGGCGCAAAGCTACACAGAGAAACCCTGTCTCAAAAAAAAAAAAAAAAAAAAAACCAAGTAAAAAATGTGAAAGGGTAATTCACAAAAAAGGAAATCTGAATAACAAATACATGAAGAACATTTGTCCATTATAGCCAAGGACTCCAGCCACAGTAAGAAGCAGTTCAAATACACAAGAAAGTCAGAGGCAACAAACAGGACTGAGGACTGCTGAAGGGAACGCTAGGCTTCCAAACCACATGGAGGCTAAACAAGAATATTGTAAGGGGTGTTACTTTAAGGGTTGTTCATGTTGCATTTGTTTAACTCTGCGAAGCTGTGTTACTGTGCCTGTGTAAAACACCTGATGGTCTAATAAAGAACTGAATGGCCAATAGTGAGGCAAGAGAAAGGATAGGCAGGGCTGGCAGGCTGAGAGAATATATAGAGGCAGAAATCTGGGAGAAGAGGATGGGAGATCTAGGAGCCAGAGAAGGAGGAGGACTCCAGGGGCCAGCCACCCAGCTACATAGCAAGCCACGGAGTAAGAGTAAGATTTACAGAAGTAAGAACAGGAAAACCCCAAAGGCAAAAGGGAGATGGGATAAGTTAAGAAAAGCTAGCTAGAAATGCTAAGGCCGGGCATTCATAAGTAAGACTAAGCCTCCATGTGATTTATTGGGGGAACTGGGTGGCAGGCCCCCAAAAGGAGCCAAACAACAACCTTCAACAAGGGCCTCTGTGTGGAATCCCACCCCTGTGCATGACAGAGCAATTCACACACAGATCCAGAATCGGCGAAGTGCTCACACTAGGATGAGCAAGAAGGGAGAAAGGCAGCCATGAGTAGAGTGCCAAGCATCACCACACTGTCTTTCACCAACAACCTACTCTCTCTTCAGCATTAGATGCAGGTGAGGGGGATGGGGGGCGTGGAGACTCTCCAACAGTGGTTCTCAACCTTCCTAATACAGTCAGGACCCTTTACTACAGTTCCTTGTGTTGTGGTGATCCCCCAATCACAAAATTCTTTCGTTGCTACTTCATAACTGTATTATGCTACTGTTATGAATCATAATGTAAATATCTCATAAGCAGGATATCCAATATGCAACCTCTTCAGGAGTTGCAACCTACAGGTTGAGAACCACTGCTCTACAAGCTAAAATTCTCTTTGCAAGTGGGTCCCTATTAACTCGGGCTAGCAGAACTAACAGGGAGAAGAGACTGAAGTATGAACAAAAGGGAAATCTTCCTCCCACTTTACTTGCATCCTGGTTAATTTTTATTATCAATTTGACATAAACTAGCATAACCTGGGAAGAGACCTCCCTTGAGGAACAACCTTAATCAAACTAATGTGAGGCCCTGTGAGTCTATCTGTGAGAGACTGTTTCAACTGATGACTGACACAGGAGGACCCAGTCCACTGTGGGCAGCACCATCCTAAGCAAACAGACCGGCACTGTATAAAGAGCTAGCTAAAAAGAAGTGGTGGCACATACTTGAATCCTAGCATTGGGGAGGCAGAGACAGACACATCTTTGTGAGTTCAAGGCCAGTCTAATATACAAAAACAAGAAAGCCAAATGATTAAGGCCAGAGAGCACACCAGCAAGCAGCATCTCTCCATGGTTTCTGATTTACTCCCAGCTTGAGTTCCTGCCCTGCCTTCCCTTAATGGTGGATTACGACCTGAAGTGTAAGCCAAACAACCCCTTTCCCTCCAAGTTGCTTTCAGTCAGAATGTTTTACCACAGCAACAGAGGGAAACTGGAACACGTGCTGTTCACACCACATGTGTAAGGTTAAGTGAAAGAAGAGGAAGACTTCTGGAAACATCAAGTTCAATGTGATAATGGATATTCAACTAGAAATAAAAATGTAACACTGCAAGCTGCTGGTTCTCTACTGAGTCCTCCATCTTATTTTTCCTCTAACAAATTCAGAGGCAAAATGAAGCCTAAAAAGCCAGAAATGAGATACTTGGTACAAAAAGAAGAGACAGTGTCCTGTCACGTTCTATGTGTGTGACCACCCTGATCATTGTGAAATGCAACTATAACCATGGCTCTCCTCCAAAATCTTTTCAATGTGTGTGTGTGGGGGGGGTAGCCAAAAAACAAAAGCACTCCCAGTATTTCCTAATAGATCCTATCAGATCTTACACAAATTTGACCTCTTCCCTATTCTCAGTCTCATTTAACCCAGCCCACCACTCTCCATACATCAAACTAATTTATATGAGAAATAATGCTGGTCTTTTTCCTATCCTTAGACCCTCAATTACAAACCCTGTTCCCAGGGCTAGAGAGATGGCTCAGCAGTTAAAAGTATGTGTTGCTATTCCAGAGGACGGGAGTTCAAGTCCCAGCACCCATGTCAGGCAGCTGAGCCACCTGTAACTACAACTTCAAAGGTTCTGACACCTCTGGACTCCACAGGCGCGCGCGCACGCGCGCGCACACACACACACACACACACACACACACACACACACACACACACGCTGTTAAAAACAACAGCTAAAAATTTCTCAGATTTGGGGCTGGGGACATGGCTCCACAACAAAGAGTGCGTGCTATACAAGCATGCAGATGTGAATTCAAACCTTGGCACCCACGTGAAAGCCAGGTGTGGATGGATAGCTATGTGCTTTTGTAACCTCAACGTCGGGAGGCGGAGACAAGTGGCTCCTAGGAGCTCACTGGCCATCTCCCAGGCAAAATGGAGAGTTTCAGGTTTAGTAAGAGACCCTGTCTCAAGGGAGCAAAGCAGAGAGCAACAGAGGAAGACACCTGGTATCTCCTCTGGCCTCTGAACTTGTGCACAGGCACATGTGCTCACACAGACCCACAAACACACACACACACACACACCTACCTCTTCCCAAATTTGGCAAAAATGCCTAAGCCTAGATATTCAAGTAACAAAACAAACTCAAAAAAAAAAAAAAATCCACATCAAAACATGCATAGTCAAAAATTTAATCCCTAAGGCAGGTCAGGTTGCAGTTAACTCTTGAGCACGCTACTTAAATTAGACCCTCACAATATGCAACCCTATCATGCCTGTACTTTTCTCTTATAAACCTACATTTTTTAATTATTTAATGTTTCTCTTCCCCCAAGGAACTGTAACTTCCATGAAGGCAGACTCAACTTGGTCATTGGTCCATCACTTAACGTAATCTATACTAAATCATAGCTGCTCTGTTAGTACGTGCTGGATGATGGGCAGTGAGATGACTCAGCAGGGTAAGAAGCATGGCTGCACAAGCCTGACAGCCTGAGTTTGGTCTGAGACACCTACAGTGGAAGGAGAGAACCAAGTCTAAAGACTGTCCTCTTACCTCCACATGGCTCCGCACCCACACCCAAACATGATCATACAGACACAATTTCAAACAAACAAACAAAAAAGCCCAGGCCTGCGGACGCAGTAACTCGGGAAATGAGGGGGAAAAGTACAGTCCAACAGTTCCAGACTAGTCTATGAAACACAAGACGACTCCTCCAAGAAGAAAAATAAAAAGAAATCAGCCTCTTCACCATCAATGGATTTTGTTCTCTTTTCAAAAGTGCTCCAGACTTACCTGTTGATCGATGTGATTGCTATCAGGTTAGCTACACAAACTTACTGTTGATCGATGTGGCCGCTATCAGGGTAGCCGCCTTACCTTATTAGTCTGCAGAATCCGGGCATGAAACGCAGCTGGCCAGGCATGCAGCAACAGGTACGCATATGAGCGAATGGCATACACTGGGGAATATTCCCACGTCTGAAACCCCTTCCCATAGATGAGGTAGTGTGTCTGAAGGCAGAAACAGATGCGATCAGGGTTGGACTAACAAAGCCCCTCCTAAAAGGCTACAGGTAAAGATTCTGTGTCAAAACCGTTAGAGACAAAATGTTGAGAATTAACATTTGTAACTAACGAGTAAGAAGAACAAATGACCTCATAGTTTTAAATTAAGAAACTAAAAATTTTACTGTATTTTCTTAAAATAAAGTTTAACCAAAACAGAGGCTTTAAGTCTTTTATTTTCCTAAATTACACACACTAAGCAAGCATCTTCCCTCTGGTTTTTGATACAAATGTGTTCGGGTAAATTTACTTCCAAATTTTCTGTACCAGAAGTCAGCAAACAACACATAAACACACAAATCAAGAAACACCATTCAAGTGCACGATCAGTGGCACTATTGTCTCAGTTAAGGCCGCCCTTGCTGTGAGGAAACGCCACTACCCAAAACTACTTGGGGAATACAGAGTTTATTTCTTCTTTATTGTTATATTTTTCATTACTTAAAACAATTTTCAAATTCAAATATATTTTGGTCATATTCTTCTCCTCCCCCAAGTTCCTCCAGATCCTTTCCTCCCTACACACCCAACTTCAAGTTCTTTCTCAAAGAAACAAAGGCCCAGTGCAACAAAACCAAGAAAACAAATAAAACCACATTCAAAAAGGAAAAAACCAAATTCAAAAAGCCGGCTGAAAACTGATTTTCCGTCTCTTGGCAAGTATAAATGACAGTTCAGTTGTTGACCTTTACCCTGGTGACTAGGTTTTCATTCATTCACTCATTTAAAATATATATATATATATATATAACAAAATAAAATATAATAAAACAAAAACTATCACATTGAAGCTGGACAGGACAAACTAACAGAAGGAACACACAGTTCCAGATAACAGATCATCAAAAGCAGTCAGGGCAGGAACTCAAACAGGGCAGAACCTAGAGGCAGGAGCTGATGCAGAGGCCATGGAGTAGCACTGCTTACTGGCTTGCTCTTCATGGCTTGCTCAGTCTGCTTTCTTATAGAACCCAGGACCACCAGCCCAGGGATGGCACCATCCACGATGGGCTGGACCCACCCCCATCAATCACTAATTAAGAAAATGTCCTACAGGCTTGCCTACATCCGGGTTTCATGGATGCATTTTCTCAATTGAGGGTCCTCCCTTTTCTAATGACTCTTGCTTGTATCAAGCTGACATTAAACAAGTCAGCACAACTATTTTGGCAACATCAGAAGAAATACACTTAAAAAATTGGAAGAATGTAACTTCCCTCTAGGAGGTGGAATCTCGACATGAAGAAAATGGATAATTGTACTTCCCTCAAGTTTAGGAGTAATTGTTAGCTTTAAAACCTATATCTACAAGTATTACTAAGATTTATAAAACCATTTAAAAGATAATTATAAGCCTCACCTTTGAGTATGTCAGCTAAAGGCCATAGACTTCAATAGTAACTAAATCAACAGTTTGGGCTTTTTTAAAGATCTGTTTTATTGATGTGTGAATGTCTACATAAGCGTATGCATGCAAGTATGTGCCTGTAGAGACCAGAAGAGGGCATCATATTTATTTGTCTGTTTATTGAGACAGGGTCTCTTTATGTAGCCGTGGCTGTCCTGGAACTTGCTCTGGAGACCAGGCTGGCCTTGAACTCACAAGAGATCCACCTGCCTCTGTTTCCAGAGTGCTGTGATTAAAGGCGTGCGCCACCACACTGTGCTATCATGATTTGGAGCTGGAGTCACCTACATCTGAGCCACTGGAATTTGAACTATAATCTTCATGACTACGCAGCAAGTGCTCTTAACCACTGAGCCATCGCTCCAGCCCCAAATCAGTAGTTTTTAGGATATAAAAGTGCAGACATTCTCAGTTTTTATGATATAAAAGTGAAAACAATTTATTTTAGTATTTTCACACTTGCATTTTACTTGTTTGTTAATTAGTTCTAAGTACCAAATCAAGATCAAAGGCCAAGTCCCAGAACTGGGGGCTGGGGATGTAGCCCAGTAGTAAAACATTCACCTAGCATGCCCAAGACCATGGGTTAGATCCCTTGGATTGCAAAAACTAAAACAAACAAACAAACAAACAAAAAACCAGCTAAAGAGATGACCTACTGGTTCCCAGTAGTTGAATGTTTCATCACAGTCAGAGATGTTGCTCAGAAGAGCGGCGCACAACCTTGCTGAGAGCAGGCACTTGAAAGCAGTGGATCCTTCAGGGGCCCAGACTTGCCCTGCTTTATTTCCAGACCTGCCCGGAAGGAAAAGCAAAACCATTAGTGTCTCAGGAAGTGCCGGCGAAGACTAAATCCAGATAGAAAAGTCAGGAATGACCAAAGACAGCAACGCAATAAAGCCATTCACCTAAAAGGCCGCCTTGCCATGTTTGAGTAGAATGAATAAGGGATTGCGTTTCAATCACACCTTCCACTTCCTGCTACTAGGGTATCCTACACCTTGGCCTGTCTCACCTACAACCCTCGCTTTCACCTCAAGCCAACTAATCACTCACTTGAAGGCCACAATGCTCCCTCTCTCCATTTCTTAAGGTCATCCCTTGCCAAGACTTTTATTCCCCACTCTTTCAGATGAAGGGAGGCCTAATACAAAGTGCAGGTGCAGCAGACAGTTCCTTCAATGCAGACCTCACCTACGGGCTACAGGCATGCTGATGGATTCCAGGGGCCAGAAAACAGCAAACGGAGGCTGCTGAGAGAATAAAGCGGCAGGCAGGGGGACTCGGGTGTAAAAGGCACACTCTCCTGCCAACAGCTCCCACAGAGGCTCGGCTAACTACCAGCCCGAAGCCTGCTCAGTGTGGGCCTGAGCCTGAAGCGTGGCAGACCCTCCCTCCCATAATGCAGGGGTGCGGAGGGGCGAGGATCCACCCGAGCTCGGACTCTCCCAGGACGGGCAGGAGCGGCTCGCCACGGAGACCCCCGGCCGCCCGACCCTCCCGCCGGCCACGCCCTCCGGCCGGCCGCACACGCACTCGGGCCGCTGATCCGCGCCGCCTGCCTCCCGGCTGCCCAGCAGCTCCCGCAGCTTCTCCGCGGCCGGGCCCGTGTCCCCGCCGCTGCCGCTGCCGCTGCCGCCGCCGCCGCCCTTGAGGCGCTGCCGGGCCCTTCGGCTCGCCATGCCCAGCGTCGGGGAAAGGGTAGAACTCGGCACGCTACGATATCGGCGAAAGCGCAGACATTGCTGGGCTCGGAAACGGTGTCCGCCGAGGGACAAAAAGCTTTGACATGCGCACAAAAGACGACAATACTGTTGTCCTTAGACCAATGGGGCGAAGGCGGGGATCCGCAGCCTGGACTAGCCCTCCCACTTCTAACACTGGGTATTTCTCCCTGCCTTTAATTCGCTTCTTCCCGTTTCTCAGCACGCCACACTTGCCAATGCTATAAAGAGTAGTGTGCGGAGGTATTCAGTTAAAGAAGCTCCACACAGCTCCTACCCAAGGGGGTGGTGGGGGTCTCTAAAAGGTTAAACATTTGACACCTTGCCTTGTCTTGTTGAGAGGAATGGAGGCAGCCAATAGCTCCTGAGAGACAAACTAGCAAGGCAATGATCCATACTGAGACGTGAAAGCCTGAGGAAACGCTATGCAGAAAACTCAAGCAGGCATTTGTCTCTGGCGTTGCTACTACAGGCCGCGGTAGGCACTTCACACACATGCTTTTTGATTCTCTCTTTTACTGGCAAGGAAGCCAAGGTCCAAAGTTGTTTGTCTAGTAAATGGAGCTATATTCCAATTGAGGACCGATTATAAACTTACTATTCTGGCTACATCAACAAAAGGCCTTGTTGGGAGAGTTTTGTTGTTTTTAAAGGGGGCTAGGAGTTCGAACTTGGTTTTAGAGGAGAGAGAGAGAGAGAGAGAGAGAGAGAGAGAGAGAGAGAGAGAGAGAGAGAGAGAGAGAGAGAGAGAGAGAGTAATGAGAGTGTGCCAGGCGGGCTGACAACAGGCCTTTAATCCCAGCACTCGGGAGGCAGAGGCAGGGGGATCTCTCTGAGTTGAAGGTCAGCCTGGTCTCCAGAGTTCCAGGGCAGCTAGGGCTCTTACACAGAGAAACCCTGTCTTGAAAATCCAAATAAATAAATAAAAATTTTAAAAAATGAAGATTGATCATATGGATCAGTTTCCATACACAGTCACTAGTTACCAAGCCCAAACATCCAACTTCAGTAGAACTCATATATATCCTTATCTCCTTTCCTGGAAACCAGGGAGAGAGAAGTAAAGTAGCAAACAGAGTAGGTCTTTGGTCAGACCCAAATGTCAACCAAGCTCTGATACTTGAGTTCCATGACTTTAATAGTCAATGACAGAAAGAAACAGCAGTATCGTGATGTTCATAATCTCAAATGTTTAACATATGCAATAAGACATTCCTAAACTCAGTGAGATGATAAAGAGGAACTGAGAATGTGGGAAATATATCTACATGTGGTGAGACATACAGCCTCTTCAGCAAAAGAACAGTTAAGTACATAACACTTGTTTTTTAGTCATTACTCAGGATCAGAACTGAACTACAAGGTCACTAGTCACATTAGTCTGTAAGGGTATTTTTTTTTTTTTTGTTTGTTTTGGGCATAGCTTCATTTGGTTCTAAGACAGGACCTCACTATGTAGCCTTGGCTGGCCTCAAACACAGTCCCTTGCCTGCCTCTGCCTCCTGAGCACTAGGCTCAAAAGAATGCACCACCACCACCACCACCACCACCACACCCAGCCAGTCTGTAGGTTTAAATGATGTTCACAGGTGTCTTTAGGGTCCATCAAAACTACTTTAGTCACAATGAAAAAAAAATCTTATATACACACACACCAAAAAACAAACAACAACAAAAACCCCACACAGATTCCAGAAAGGAGTAACAGTTCCAAGTCATTCTTTCTCACTCACACACAACATACAGTGAGGGGTCGAGCTGTAGAAAGGACTTTCCTAGCCTATCGCAGTAAAACATGCAGCTGTCTCTGAATCTCTTTCCTAAACCGTGACTGCATTGCTGCTGCTAGCTGGGAGCTGAGTGCCTTGTCACAAGCTTGATAGGTCAATCTGTAGCAGAGACTGACCTGTTCAGTGTCTGGATGCTGAAAACGACCAAGGAACTGTATGGAAATAATAGTGTCCTGGGACACTGCTCGGGCTAAGGTGTGAAACTCTAGTTCATCAAATCCTTTCTTTTCATGTAACCAAAAACTAATATCATGCACATAGCGTGGAGGATACAGGGAATAGCTTTTAAAGGGCTCTATTTTCCCAGGGGTAAATCTTTTCAGGAAACGGTTATCAAAAGTCCACAATATTCTCCAATCAGAAATATCATAGACAAGCATGGCTAATAAGTCCAAGTTTATAGAAACAAACACAAAACACTGGTGTTTGTGTGTAACAGCTGTAGATGTGACAATAGTCCCAATAATCAGATTCTCAGTACAATCTGGGCCCAAATTAAGAGACTTCACATGAATTATAAAATCCTTTCCATTTGGTTGAAGGACAAATTCCACTGAAGTGCTCACATTGGAGCCCTCCAGCAACGTCTGAGTCAGAAGGTTATCTAGACTCTCCTTCAGGTGACCCAGCAGTGACATAAGGCAGCTATCCTTCCCATTTGTGTTTAACCCAAGCATAAACAAAGTCTCGTGAAATGCTGGCATCGTGAAAGGTAAAATGTGGCACTTCCGAAAGACAGGCCCACTGAGGATGTGCAGAGAACCTGGGATGAAGTCCGGCGAATGGATGACAGCTTCAGCGTGAACCAGAAGAGAAGATCTAAGGCAGAGCTGGGCCTGTCCACAGATCCCCTCGTGAGCTGCTCTGCAGCCATCTCTCCCAGGATTCTTGGGAAGGGCACGTCCTGAAAACGACAGGACAACGTCTTCCATTTCTTGTGTTATTCCACCAGTCAGGGACTCAGAATCGGAGTTATCTTCATGGAGATTAATCCGAAAGGCAGGCTGAAGGTCGCCGGTCTCTGGAGGGAGGACACTGGTGCCTCCCCGTGACAACAAAGGGAAGGAGCACTTCAGCCTTTTGAAAGGAAAATGTTTGCCCAGTTCAGCAATGAGTTTCTCATTGATGGTTTTGATGGGATGGCAGGAGGATGCTTCAAGAAACCGCCTGTTTAAACACATAAAATAATGTTTCACTTATAATAATAACTGCTGGAATTAAAGTCGTTTGTTAGACTTTATGTAGAAATGTAGAAAACAATTATCCTTAAACTGATCCTGAAAATAAATCATTTGTCATATGGAGCAAGAGCATGTACATTTTTTTGAGAATGTACATTTTTGGGTGTAGTTTGGGGCCTGTTATTTGTTTTGTTTTGTTTTGCAATGACGGGAGCAAATTCTGGGCCTTGTGCATGCTAGGCAAGTTATTCTACCACTGAACTATCCTCCCAGGCCTGGAGACTTAGCATACAGTCTAGACCACTGCCACCACCCCTACAATATATCAGCCTCACAAGTGGCCACAGCACCAACATCATTAACAATGAAATTAAAATTCAGTGACCATTAAGATGACCATGGTACAAGTAGGGACAGGAGTGATTTCCAGCAAAATAAAAGATTACCTGTTCAACTTTCCTGCAAGTCCTTCTGGTTCTGTAAAGGAAAACCACTGGTCTTCCAGTCTGACTCTGAATGCTCTGGGCTGAGAGTCTTCAAAGGGTAAGCTCTGGGTGAAGACATGGTTCAAAGCACCTTCTACATGAAATGACTTAGCCTGACTCCTGCCAAAATAAGTGAACAAACAACTTCTTTAAATTAAATATTATACATTTACATTTCATTTAGTTTAAATTAAATATTATGTAGTTACATTTTAGTTTAAATTAAATAGATGTATATATGTTGTTGTTTGTTTTTGTTCTTTTGGGGGACCCACCACCCAGCTCCCAAATAAATCACACATAGAGGTATATAATTAACTATAAATGTCTGGCCTTAGCTTGGCTTGTTTCTTGCCAACTTCCCTTAAATTATCCCATCTACCTTTTGCCTCTGGACTTTTCCCATTCTCTTGCTTCTGTAAATCTTACTCTTACTCTGTGGCTTGCTGGTTGTGTAGCTGGGTGGTTGGCCCCTGGATCCTCCTCCTTCTCTGGCTACTTCCTCTTTTTCCCAGATTTCTCCTATATATCCTATATATCCTTTCTGCCTGCCAGCCCCACCTATCTGTTTAGTTCTTTATTAGACCATCAGGTGTTTTACACAGGCACAGCAACACAGCTTCACAGAGTTAAATAAATGCAACATAAACAAAAGTAACACACCTTAAAATAATATTCACCAACACATATATATAATTCGTGTGTGTCTGTATGTGTGTGTGAAGGTTGCCATCAGTTAAAAAAAAAAAAGTATTTTTGAACCTAAATCAGGAAATTAGAAAGGCAAGAGCCTACTTTTGATTTTCTTTTTTTATTACTTCATGCAAGAGATGGAAGGAGAGAAGGTTTAGGCCTATGGTATCACTTACCTATACCCAGTGCATTTGTATCCTGGCACAGCCTCACAGCTGAAGGGATACACATCACTTAAAATGAACCCTCCCAGTGCTGCCATGGCAACCACTTGCCAACTGTTGTGCCACTCTCTCTGGGGCTTATCGGCAGGAGTTCCACCTTGTCCTCTGCACAGTGCCACGTGAACCTCTCCTTCCTTTGCAAGAACATCAGCACAGCTTATGGAGGACAAACACCAGAAATTTATCAGACACAGAAACTACAAAAGGAGTCAGCGATACGCACATGGTTTAGCTCCGAAATAATTAAAATTCACCTTACTTGTCGAGGTCTATTAAACCTAAGCATATTTTTTTAAAAAGTCCACTTGTGTCCCCACAACTACATTGGTCACAAGCTTTGCATCTGTGTTCTTTTCCTGTATGTCACAGAAAGGCCAATGTCCACAAAGCTCCTCCATAGAATTCACTCTGTGCTGCTTCTCCCCATTAGGAAAACATCTTACTGCCTTCTGCCTACTCTATAGTTCTGGGCTTGGATGAGCACTACATCACCATGCATAAAGCCCTAGCTTTAATAATCACTACACACACACACACACACACACACACACACACACACACACACACACACGCATCTATACTTCAACGGCCTAATTTAAAATACTGCCCTTGCTAAAGGTTTCTCAAATCTATATAGCCCAGGGGAGCCCTCCAATACTATCAGTTTAGTATACTGGTATAAA